AGCAGGTGTGTTGCGGGGGAGCTGGGAGAGGCCCGTGCCGCCGCGGTTGTTGTGTCTGCTGTCTCCTCTAAGCGCTTGCAGGTCATTCCTTCAGGAGGAGATCTTCCAAACCCACCTGGATGCCACCCTGTGCTCTGGGTGTCCCTGTTAGACCAGGGGGTTGATCTCTAGAGGTCCCTTCCAACCTCAGCCGTCCTGTGATTCTGTGGAATGGGGCACAAGGATGAGCATGTGTCAGGGGAGTCGCGTCCGGAATGAGCAAAGTGCTGGCAGGTCTCCAGAGTGAGGCCCTGCGTGTCCCAAGCTGTTGTTGTCTTTTGAGGTGCTTTTGAAAGGAGACTTATTGTTCTAGATGGGCCTGCACCCACGCATAGGTTTGGAGTTTGCTGCTCGAGTCACATCAAACTGTGCACGTTAAATGTACGTGTGTGGAAGGTGCCACCCAGCGGGGCTTGGGCTGTGCCTAAAGCGCTGGGAAGTGCTGCCACAGCAGCTCGGCACCAAGCCAATCCAGAGCTGTCCGTGTAATAACTGCATATTGTGTACTTGTATTTTCGTGGCATGTGGCATGTATTTTCGTGGATGATAGCATGTGCTGGAGCAGCCGCCAACAGTCCCTTTTTCAGAAACTTTAAAAGTTAAAATATGTGTTCCCTGTGATGGTCAGTCCCCTTCACTGCTTCTGGTAACTTTTTACCAGAACAAAGTTCTCCTTTCCCTGTACACCAGAGCCGAGTAAGGCTTACCCTGCGTGCATCATGGTGCCGCTTGCCATTCCAGTCTTAATTTTGCTCCTGCATCCCTTCAAAGAAGGACAGAGCCGAGCTCCCACAGTTACCAAAGCCGGTCTTGGGTAACTAGCGCCTTGCAGGGAAGTAACTTATTTTATAGCCCCTCAGCAAGGAGCGCTTGAGGAGGGAACGCTGCAGCCTTCCTAGACCAGGCACTTCTTTACTTTGGGTGCAGTGACATGATGGTGGAAAACCCCCACACGGGAGTACGCTGTGTTGGTGTAGAAAGTGCAGACTGCAGCAGCTGCGCTGCAGTGTAAAGTCATCTTTGCCAGCTCCTGTGATAAGATTCCCTGTTCCTCCTGCTACCCCACGTATCAGAGCAAGGACCTAACCCCGCTACATAAACTTTGTTTACTTTTCCTCAAATCTGTGTTGATTAGTTTAAAGTGAGAAATCTACAGACATGTTGATGTTGACCAGAGCTGTGTTTTGCGTTGGTAACTTGCAGTCTCTTTGCAGCCTCCTTTCTCACGAGAGCTAACAGTGATCGGCTGTGCTGTGTCCCTCGTTCCTTGCTCATCCTGTAGCAGCTTCTGCCTCCTCAAAGTACCATTCCAGGACTGTATGTGCATTAGCAATTTCACCTGCCCTTCCTATGGAGAGCTGCTGCTCAAGAACCCATTTTCATCTCCTGTGAGGAGTTTGCAGTAGCTGTTGATATTTGTTATTAGATGTCCTGGGGTCTTGTCTTCATGTGGGGAAGAAAAGGTGCCTTTTTTTTTTTTTTTTTAATCAATAGGTAATGTCTCCTGTTATTTGCAAATGAATTAATGGTGTAGTAAGGTGTTAGGTCTTGCTCTGGGCTTGTTTTGGTAGCTATTGCCAAATTAGTCTCAGAAAGTGTGGATAACAAGTAGTCACCCTGGCAGCCTGAGTCTCTGCTAATATCAGGTTTAGGCTATTTTTGCCCCTGAGCATTTAGAAAATTATTATTATTAAGGATATTTGAAAGAAGGAATTTAGAAAAAGGCAGTTAAAAACAGATAAATGCTGTTGCAGGCTCTGTGTATGGAGAATATAAAACTAAAAAATAAAATAAAAAAAACAATAAATAACTTACAACCTAAGTGGTGTTTCCATGAGGTTAGGGATGAGAGTTAGCTAGGCAGGCGTAAATGCTATGTTTTACTGAATGAAAATGCTTCCTTTTGCTTTATTTTGCAGGTCAGTGCTGACTGTTGCTTGTGAACAAACTGAAGTCCTGCTTTTTGATCCAATATCTTCAAAACATATTAAAACTCTCTCTGAAGCTCATGAAGACTGTGTAAATAACATCAGGTAAGTCATTTTTTTCCCTAATTTTTCCTTTTGGTAGATGTGGTGGGGTTTTTTTTTTAATAATAGCATAATAAATTTTGTACTTTTTTGTGTGTGTGGAGTGGATTCATGCAGCTGTTGGGCTGTACTCTTTGTGCCATTTCCTTCTCTTCCCAAGTTAGGGGTGGGGAGCGCTGGAAGGGGAATAAGGCGTCTGATGGTGGTTGTATATAATGAACTCCCCTTTTTAGTGGGGGAGGTGCAGTTTATGGGAAGCTTTCTCAAGCTGTTATCAGCTGTTTTAACTAGTCTTTCACATGTTGCAGGGAGGTCAAGGTCTGGTAAGATCTTTCCCTGCTTGCTTTCCCAGCTGACAAGGTGAAGTGCTAAGTAATACGTGATGCAAACCACAAGCAGATCCTTTCAAACTGAGTTCAGAAGTTATCTAAAAGAAGCTCTGATACAAAGTGTGTTGGCTGAGCAGGCAGGATGTGTGCTGTGTGGAACAGCAGGATTTAAAAACTTCAACAGGGTGTTAACAAAAGTAACCTTTTCTAAAAAATCTAATTTGCATGGAGGGAGTATGCATGTGTAATGGGAAAAAGATGAAGACTTAAAAAACAGCATGGGAAGAATGAAAGGGGAGTAGAAACAAAAAGTAAACTATGGTTTTAATTTATCAAGAGCCATTAAACTCTTAATCTGAAAGTTAGGATTGTT